TAGGACACATGCCTACAGAGGCGGAGGTGCAGGGCGTAGGGGAGCTGTGTTTTCACATCACACTCTCCCAGCTCCCCCTGCCCAAGCCCCCCTGCCTCCACTGGGTGAGGGGCATGCTCCCTTCTCACCATGGGCAAACACATCTGACCTCTGTGTCCACCCCGCCTTGCCCCAATGTTGGCCAAGCTGGTCTCTTTCCCACAGGGAGGAGACAAAGGCTCATGGCCATCAGGTATCTAGCTAGAGTGAATATGGCCTGAAGATGGCCAGGCAACCGTTCAGACAAGACACGTGCAGAGAGTTGAGAATAATTCCACAAAGATTCGAAGGACCACCACCACAATCATCACTTCTGGAGCCTTTTTTGCAGGGTTGTCTAGAGAGTGCGCCATAAATGCAAGTACCTATTTTTCTGCAGTTCTTTCTTATTTTTTCATCCATAAATAGCAAGCAACAATTTTATCCTTAGCCAGATAAAAAGTTCAGAAAATTCAGTCATTTGAAAACCTATCTTTGAGCCCCAAAATGAGCCCGAATAGCCAGTTTTGTATATGAACCAACAGCCAGGAAATGCGCATTCCCTTTATCTTGTAAGAAAGAAGGTCCTTCTAGTTTATCTGCTGATAACTTCTTTGAATGTAATGTGACCAGATGAGTTTTCCTGATAGCCTTCACTACAGCAGGATAGAGGAGGACCCCTAGAGGTAGATGCAGTAAGAGTCATTAAAGGAGAAATATAGGGGTTAAGCAGGTGGCATGGTGGTTAAGGTGCTAGACTCCTACATGGCCAACTGAGGTTCGAGTCCCAGTCCTGGTGGCTTAAAACTCACTCTGGGTGCGTGTGCATGTGTGCCCAAGATCTCAAGAGGAGAATGGAGGAGAAGAGATTGGGTTGTGGCCATCCCCTCTGGGGGGCGATTTCTCATTGTCTGTTTTTCTCTCGTGCTCTCTCTTCAGCGAGTGCACATACCCTATAGCAAAAAAAATAATAATAAAAATAAAAAATAAAAAATAAAATCTCTCTACAAAAAATAAATAAATAACTAGGGCCAGCCAGGTAGCATGGTGGTTAAAGCGACCGGATACCACAGGGCTGACTGCATGGTTCAAGTCCTAGACCCAGCAGCTTAAAAAACACACTGGACGTATGTGTGCCCAAAACCCCAGCACAAGAATGGAGGAGAAGGGATTTATAGGTCACATCCTCTGGGGAATGGTGTCTCACTTCCCCTCTCTTGCTCCATCTCTCTCCAGGGGGTATACGTGCCTTATAGCAAACTTATCTGCTGAGCTACTTCATTTCGTGTTGCCTCCTCTACCACGGTGAGGACACCTACTCTGGGTCCCTCAACTCCGGGGGGTGGGGGGGAAGTGTTCAGAATGTCACGGGAATAAAATGGCTATTGGATGCATAACCCGGTGGAAGGAAGCCAGCTGTGGCTAGGACAGTCGGGGCAGGAGGAGCCTGCGATGCCACCTGCCGCGGGAGCTCTTCAGATGAAGGCCAGGACGGGGAGCTTCTGCTGCCTTCCGTTTCGCGGTGACACCATATGGCTTGCTGCACACTGGGCTGAATTGCAGATGCTCTAACTTGGAGCTTTCTTGCTTTTGTGTGTTAATAACATAAAGATGGAACATAGCTCACCACACATTTTGTGTTTGCTAACTCTCTATATGTATATAAAACAGACTTCACTGTTACTAGCCAACCCACTTGTGAAGTGGAAGGAAAACAGAGCAATTAGAGGGAGAGGGAGGGAGGGAGCAAAGCGTGTGAGCTTAGAACGGGGCCAAATCCTAGTGCTGTGTGTGCTTCCAGAGGAGCAGGCTACACCCCAGGGCCAAGGGGCCAGAGATAAGTGATGGGGGGAAGGTAGGCTCCCTGGCCCCCAGGCCGGAGTCCAGCTCCTTAGAGGCATGGCATAGAAGGCTGTTCGGGGGGTGGCTGCATTTTCAGAGCTCCCCCCTTCCACCTGAAGCTCTGCCCAGACAAATGCTGGCTGTCAATTCCAGGGTACACCAAGCTGTGTCTAGCTTCTCCCTCTGGAGAGCCTCTGACCATCCCCACCTCGGACGCTGCCCGCTCAGCCTTCCTGCCTTCACCCAGGAGTTGTACACTCACATGTCTGCAGTACGGAACGTCTCCCTCTTGCCTTCTGAGGCAGCTTCCTTCTGACAAACAAGTAGACAAAGGTCCAATTACAAAATGTCTCAAGTGCTATGAAGAATAAAAATATGGAGCTTAATTAAGAGAAGGAAGTGTTGAGTCCACCATGTGAGCTATATTTCAAGGCAACCAACTAGTCCTGATTGATATGGAAAATGTCTTTCCAGCCGACTCCAGTGAATAAACAAGGTGGGGGTGGGAAGTAGGGGTGCTCTGCTTCAGCGGGGAGGACTGTTTTATTACTGACACATTTAGAATCGCAAGGGTGCAGTCATGATAAAAAGCAGAGGGCTTTTCGTCTGTTCTGTGATTGTTTTTAAGTTCTCTGCAGACTACGCGCCTCCCACCCCCACTGCCTGCATCCCCTCGGGGCATGCCTCTAGTTTGGAAGACATGAAGGAAATAGACAAGATCCGTTTTGCACACCCTAATCAAATAACTGATGCAGGAAATGATTATCAATGGACGAAATCGTGAGGCAAGGGACTGAGGGGAATTTTGCAGGGGAAGGATGAGGCTGTTGCCACCCGGCCGAAGGTCAATCTAGCCTCATGAGAATGCAACAGCAACCTGCCACAGACCTTGGAGGGGATGACACAGGAACACACAGCCGTCACCTGCAGACATGAATCACATCGGGCTTCTAGAGCTTGCGCCATCTACAGGGAAGACGGGGAAGATGAGATCAGTTAGAGGACTCCATGAAGAAGCAAATAGATGAATCCAGAATGTGAAATGATTCTACAGGAGACAGAGCTGGTTTCTGCAGCGATATATAGAAAAGAAGAGGCTGCTTCGGAGGGGACAAGACCAAAGGATACATTAACCAGATATGTGTGGATCCTATTGGAGTTGTGACTCACGCCAACTGAAAAAATGTATTTGAGACAACTGGGACATTTGATTTTAGACTGAGTGTTAAATGACACCAAGGGTTGGGACCAGCAGATAGTGTAATGGCTACGTCACTGGATTAAACTCATGCCGTGTGAGTGCGTGCGTGCCCAAGATCCCAAGAGGAGAATGGAGGAGAAGGGATTGCGGTGAGGCCATCCCCCTGGGGGGTGATTTCTCGCTTTCTGTCTCTCTCTGTCTTTCTGGCAAGCGCACATGCCCTATAACAAAAACCTCTCAAAAAAAAAAAATGATACCAAGAATTATGTTCATTCTGTTAAGTGTACAGCTGGTGTTTGTAGTTATGTAAAAAAAATCCAAGTTTTTTAGAAATGCTCAAGGGACCAGCAGATGGCACATTGACTATGTCACTGGACTCCCACATAGTCGACTACAGTTCGAGTTCTGGACCCGGCAGCTTAAAATTCATGCCAGGTACATGTGTGTGTGTGCCCAAAATCCCAAGAGGAGAATGGAGGAGAAGGGATTGTGATGTGGCTGTCTCCCTGGGGGGGGGATTTCTTGCTTTCTGTTTCTCTGTCTCTGACTGTCTCTCTGGCAAGCACATGCGCCCTATAGCAAACATCTTTCTTTTTAAAAAATGCTTGCTCAGGTGTATAAAAATGACATGACAGGGGCCAGCAGGTAGCATAGTGGTTAAGGCGCTGGACTCCCACATGGCTGACAGAGGTTCAAGTCTCAGATCTGGTGGCTTGAAAAATCACACAGGGTGCATGCATGTGTGCCCAAAATCCCAGGAAGAAAAGGAATTGCAGTGTGGCCACGCCCCTGGGGGGTGATTTCTCACTTTATCTCTGTCTCTCTCTCTGGTGAGTGCATATGCCCTATGGTAAAAACAAAAAATCAAAAGATCCTGGCTTAATAAAGCAGAAATAATGAAACTTTTATTAAGTGTTAGGATATGGAGCTGGCCCCCTGGCCTTCTGGTTAAGGAGGCCAGATCCCACGTGGCCAACTGCAGTTTGAATCCTGGCCCTGGAGGCTTGAAAAACACTTTGAGTACCTGTAAGTATCTGCCCCAAACCCCTTCAGGATGTAGAAATAGAGAAGGGATTGTGGCATAGCCACCCCTCATTAGGGGTGCTTTCTCGCTCTCCCTCTCCCCATCTCTTGATCTCTGGTGAGCACAGGCACTCTCCGGCAAATTTATTTTAAAAATCGGTAGGATATGATATGAGGGTTATGTCATGTACTATCATCTTTCCACTTGTGTGTATGTTTGAAAATATTTATAATTTAAAAAACAAACAAAACAGGATGCCAAGAGAAAATTGGAGAGAAGTGAGAAAGAAAATAACAGTCCTGAGATGGAGGCAACAACCTTTTATTTATTTATTTATTTATTTATTTATTTATTTATTTATTTATTTATATATATTTTTGAGTAATTTTTGCTGCAGGGTGCATGTACTTGCCAGAGAGACTGAGACAGAAGTGAGAAATCACCCCCGAGGGGGGATGGCCATGCTGCATTCCCTTTTCTTCCATTCTCCTCTTGGGATCTTGCCCAGTATGCATATCGAGTCACTGGGTCCGGACTCGAATCATAGTCGGCCACGTGGGAGTTCAGCACCCTAAATACCACGCCACCTGCTGGCCTCAACAACAACCTACCTGAGAGGGAGAGGAGCCAATCAGTGAGGAAACTGAGAGAAGAGAGCAACGGGGTTAAGCATGGGTGCAAACATACCAAAAACGCAAAAGTGAGCCATTGAGGCTGGTAGAGGGAGACGTGGATGAAGGCCCGGCGTGAGAGAGCAATAGAGCGAGCCTAACCAGGCAGCAGGCAGGACTTCCTGCTCCCCATGAGAGATAGGTGATTATTCTGCAGTAAGTGGGAGGCTGCTGCCAGGTTTTAAATGGGGCAGGTTTGATGGGATTTACTGCTAACAAGGATGACCCAAGCTGTTCAGTGATAAGGGCCTTTAGTGGGGAAGAGACACTGAAGGTGACAAGCCAGTTCAGATTGCCACTACCAGGCAGCAGAGACGGACTTGGTTTAGAACAGCAGCCGAGGAGAGAAGTAAACAGATTGGACGTATCTAGGAGTGTGGAGAGCCACCGGAGCTTGCCAACACACTAATGCAGTGAGTGAGGGAACGCAAATGAAGGATAGGGGCCAGCAGATGGCGTAATGGTTATGTCGCTGGACTTTCATGTGGTCGACTGTAGTTTCAATCCCAGACCGGCAGCTGAAAATTCACACCGGGCATGTGTGCTTGTGTGCCCAAGATGACGAGAGGAGAATAGAGGAGAAGGAACAATGGTGTGGCTATCCCCCCCAGGGGTGATTTCTTACTTTCTGTCTCTCTGTCTCTACAGAGAGAAACTACAAGATGAGACACGTGCCCTACAGCAAAAATCTCTCTAAAAAGATAAGGGAGGATAAAGAGGAGGTTTGGGGTTTCATAAGTGAGTAAACAGTGATGTTATTTTCTGGGATGGGGAGAAACAGGTGGGGTGGGGTGGGGAAATCCACACTTTGCCTTTAGGCATTTTATCTTGGAGATGCTTAGGAGACAGTAGGCGGGTGGAGGTGTGGTTCAGAGGCCACAAGACCATCTGCGGAGGGAGTGTCTGGAGAACAAGGTTCCAAGTAAAGTTCTAGAAACTACCAGCTGAACTTGCTATTGAAAGTAGTTCGATGATTTAAGAAATTGTGTGATCAATAAAATGTGGGGGAAAAGGAATGGAAGACAACTGTAGACACCAGAGATAGTGTGAGAAGAGGGTGGGAAAGGGCAGAGGGTCAGATATAGGGGTATATATATATCTATGAAACTAGAAATGAAAAATTATTGGTGATAACATGCATGAATAAGCCACTATGCAGTATATTCTGGATGGGAAACCATATTTTGTATGTTGTGACAGTGCTTAGGGGATGAATGTAAATTAATTAATTTTTTAAAAAGTTTCAGGAGGAAAAAAAAAACATGAAAACTGTTTTTCTTGAAATAAAAAAAATGCATATTTGATGACCACAGTAAGCTATATAGCCCCAGCTAGGTGCTACTTTATAGTATGTTCATTCTACTCACTGAGGTTTATGCCTAAAATCAGACTTGTGTTCATGGATATGTATATATCAGCTGCGCTTGCTACTGGAAATATTTAGATTAATTAAATTCATTAGTGAATCAATACAATGGGGGGAAAAGGCATAGAAAGCAACCATGGATACCAGAGACAGTGTGGGAGGAGGGCGGGACACAGCAGAGGGTGAGAGATAGGGAATCAAAGACGGAAAAAAAAAAGGCAAAATATACAGGAAACAAGAAATGGAAATTATTTGTTGACGATAACACATATGTTGATGTGCTTGATTGAGCCAATATCCAGTGTACTCTGGATGGGAAATCTCATTATGTATGCTGTAATGATGTACAGTGAATGAACGTAAATAAGTAAGAGAATCATATCATTTCAACAGAGGAGGAGGCGCAGAGGCACTGGAGGAGGAAACCAGGAGAGTATATTGAGAAGGCCAAGTAAGGAAGCCTGGGAAGTGCCTTCAGGGTAAGTGTGAAGGAGGGTGCTGGCAACTGCTTTGGTCTGTTGGCTATCCTAGCAAAATGCATAAGCTGGATGGCCTATAAACACCAGGAATCTATTACTCACGGTTCTGGAGGCTGGGAAGTTAAAATCAAGACGGTAGCAGATCTGATGTCTGGTGAGAACCCATTGCATAGCTCAAGGACAACCATCTTCTCTCTGTATCCTCACATGGCAGAAGGACAAGGGAGATAGATCTCTTACGCTCTTTTACCTCCCAAGAAAGGACCCTAATAGGATCACCTCAAGAAGCAGGATTTCAACTTAATACAAACATTCAGACCACAGCAATGACCTTGATAGAGACAGCTTCAGTGACTTCACTTCCTGCTTCTCTTCTCTCCCTGAGCCGGATCAGGGACTCCTTCTAGTACACACATCCCTCCCTTGCATTTCTCTGCTGTTTTGTGATGGTCAGTGGGCTCCTTTCTCCTCCACCAGGGCTGAGCATTTTAAAGCCAGGATGCCTGGTTCATCCCTCAAGTTCCTAGAACAGAATCCATCCCTGCAACCATTCAGTATTGCTCAGTGAGCACCCATTGTGTGCAAGACACCTGGTGGGGCCCTATAAATTGGTGCAATAGGACCAGCAGATGCTATGTTAAGGTGGCTGGATCCTACATGGCCAACAGCATGGTTTGAGTTCCAGATCCAGTAACTTGAAAAACACATAGGACACATATGTGTGCATGCCCAAAATCCAGAGAGGAGAACGGAGGAGAAAAGACTGTGGCATGGCCATCCTCCCCCCAGCCCCCCAGAGGAGGGATGTTTTCTCCCTCTTCCTCTTTCTCCATCTCTAGTAAGCACATACACCCTAGAGCAAGAAAATAAATAAAATAAAAATAAATAAGAATATGTTTTGGGGATCAGCAGTTGGCATAATGGTTATGTCGCTGGACTCCCATGTAGCAGACTGTGGTTCGAGTCCCGGATTTGGTGGCTTAAACTCATGCCAGGCACGTGTGTGTACATGCCCAAGATCCCGAGAGGAGAATGGAGGAGAAGGGATTGTGGCGTGGCCATCCCTCCGGGGGGGTGATTTCTCGCTTTTTATCTCTCTGTCTCTCTCTCTTTCTGGCGAGTGCACATGCCCTATAGCAAAAACCTCTCAAAAAAATAAAAAGGAATATGTTTTTTAAAATGTCATAATAATTCATTTCCCTCTGTTATCCAGCATTGCAAAAGA